TATATATATATATCAGTCAGTGTATATTGATGTAAAAATAAATATTTATAACGCTTATAATCGACAGTTGATAATTCAGCGCTCTTTAATTATTTTAATGTCACACTTTACCACAAGAGAAAAAAACATTTAGACGCGATAGAGCGTCCATGGCTATTGACAATAAGTACTTAGACGCCGTGATAATTGTAAACAGATCTATTGGTGGCGAGCCGGTTATTGCAAAGCATATAAATGATTATATTGATAATACGTGATAAACAATTTTATTATTAGCATGGAAAATCAAAACGATAAAAGTATGGAACGTCGCGAAATTGTGAAATTAGTTCTCAAAACAAAATTTTTTGAGGTTGACAAGCAAAAATTGATCAATAACAGTCGTTATTTTGCTGCGCTTCTTTCAGCAAATTACATGGAGTTTCATCAATCAGAACATATTATTAATTATGAAATTCCTGTTCTTTCGTTCGAGGTTAGTTAATTTGCTTATTGCATTCCAGAATCAATCTTTCATGTAGAGTTTGTTCTTCGATACTATCTTGTTGCATATGATATAAGTGAAAGATGTTTTTTATTTTGATTTTACAGGATTTTATTAATTGGATCCATGAGAAATCGCTGATGTCTACTATCAATGCTGAAAACTCGTTCGAAGTTGAACGTTTTCTAATCTTGTTGGAATTAGGTGTTCTATTTGCAGTTGATGATTTAATAGAGAATGTAACAAACAGGCTTGAAACACACTACTTATTGCCAAGGCATGCAATAGATATTTGGTTGTTAGCACAAGATTTGAGCCTTAATCTATTGCGAGATGTATCTTTATCCGTTTGTTTAGATTGTTTTACAGAATTACCATACAATTCACTCTATAAGCTGTCCAAGCAAAATTTTTTAAAATTAGTTGGAAACATTAATGTAAGATCTACAGAGCCTTATTTGGTTCATGTTATACATGAGTGGATGAAGCTTCATCAAGTAAATATTATCTTTATATGTGACAATTTAAAATAAAATGTAATCTCCTTTGAAGCTCACATTTGTTCTCAAGTACTAACATAAATTTTAATTTTTATAGGATATAATTCCATTGGATATTTTGAAGAATAAACAACCAAAAATTTTACACAGTATTATATCCTGTGAAAGTATAGATGTTATTAATAATAAACTTTATCTTCACTGTTGGGATGGTAAACATTTTTTTGAACTTACTACATTTGAGCATCCCGAAGAACTTTTGGATTTTACCAATGACAGTGGAAATAGTAATACATTGTCAGGCATGCAGATCATTGCTAGAGGTGAAAACAATTTACTTTTTTTAAATCTAGAATAAGAAATATGAAATAATTTGAATCAAAGTTATTTAACATTTCATGTGATCTTTTAGGATTTAATTTATATCTTAGTGGCGGAGAGTTTGGTATTGGTTCAGGAAAGTTTAACACAAAAGTATGGCGTTACTCTTTGTTATCTAAAAAATGGTTTGTTCAGACAGTGTATGTATCCTAACAAGTCCATATTACAAAAGTAATCATTGTATAGTGTTATCTGTGATAATTTCTGCCAATATTTTAGTATGCCTTGTTCAAGAAGGCATATGGTCGCTGCATTTTTGAAAAATAAATTGATGCTTGTGGGTGGTGTAGGACAATATCGAAAAAAACTGGACAGCGTTGACATCTATAATGTACATACAGGTGAGAATCTTGATTATCCAATAAACAAGGTCAGATAGTGTGATTTGATCAACGAATTTATTTTTTACTCTTGTGTTTTGATAGGCAAGTGGAGTACAGGTGCAAAAATACCTACGGTCTTCAATAGTGCCCTACAGCATCTTATTTTTAATGGAAAACTAATCATATATGATATTTCAACTTTTCTTTGTGTATATTGTCCTAATCAAGATACGTGGACATATATAGAAACGATACATGATTCGACAATAAGATTACGATTGAATATGATACTTTCTGAACCTTTCGAATTTATACCACTGTTAGTGCTTAAGATTGCTCCATGTTATATTGGTAAATATTACAATATATGCACATCTCCAAAGTAATTGGACGAACATAGAATTCATATATTGTATATTTTTTTAGATGCCACCAAGGAAGACGAATTATTTTTAAGAAGTATTACAGAGGTATGCGATACAGCATGCTGTCACAAGATATGCAATAAAAGCAAGAGAGTTGCATTCGCCGATTTTCCATGGGAACCTACACGTTTCAAAAAAATTATTTCGGATTTGTTCTATGTAGGATTAGCACATCAGATATGCGAAAGACAGGAAAAAAGTATAATAATAGGTTGGGATGAGAATGACAAATCTGATAAGTTTTACTTGCAGACCGTGCCCATACGAAATCAATATAAGTTCACTTCCTTTCGATTTTCCCACTCATACAAAAGTTTTTTTAAGATAATGGATCCAGCAGAGTTGCATACTCAATCAATGAACTTAGATTTAATGTAATTTAATTCTAAACGCATTCAGTACAAACGTCCATGTAACGAACATAAAAGTGAGTGTAAAAAATTTGCATAAAAGTTCAGAGAAATGTAAACATTGTAGAGATACTACAGAGAAAAGTAATTGTATCTATACATCTTTCAAAAAAGATAACAAATTAGCTTTATTTATATTCAAAAAGATTTTCGTTGTTGTTTTCACCGATTATTACATTCAAATCGTTACAAATATTACAAAATATGTACAACTTTATGATAGCATAAGTTTTGTAGAAACACATGTTATCTAATGTATATAAATTTTTTATAAAATATTTTTTGTTTTACTTCTAGTTTTTATACAAGCGTTTTTAAGTTTATTACAATTTTATGATACATTAATGTATTATATATAAGTTTTATTATATAAATTAAAGTTTTTTTTTATCAAAGCTAATTAATTGTCACATTATCAAAAGATATCCGAAATATTGTATTGTATTGTATTCCCTTTCTCCCGATATTCGGTGATAGAATTTTTAATAGTTGACACAGAAATTAAAAATCAGATTTTTATAAATATATCATGTATAATTTCATTATTAACAATATAATAGTCCTTTTTAATATTATCTTGATTTTTTCTACGATAAAAATTTTTTTGCGATTATCTCTAATTGATATTGCGTTACGTGACTATACTGAATGACACGTAATGATAATAATCTTTCTTTGTTTATTCTTGTCTTTTATTCACATTTCTGATATCAAGCTAGTCTAGCATTTTAGACTGTAAATTACAGTTAATTACAAGAAACTTTTTTTTTACCAGAAAGTATTTTTTGTTTAAGAAATAAAATATGTATGCTTATTTTTTATAATGTCTAGCAAATTGAATAAAAAGATTTCCATGATCCTTTATCACATTGTGACAGTGATAAATTCATAATTACGTATAGATACAATTAACGCCTTTAAATCACGAAACGTCGCTTATCGTCAGTATACTCAGGGAATACCATTGATCTCGGCAAGGTCGGCATGTGTTACTTATATCGCAGACACGAATGAATTTCCTCTCTGTTTCGCGAGACTCTGTCGAAAGATGTCGAATTCGGTTGTTCGCTATTCGCTCGCGGATGTCGCAAAATGCAACGGCAAGAATGGAGCGAGAACCTGGATCGTCATTTACGACAACGTTTACGATGTAACGGATTACATGCAACAAGTACGTTTTCAATAAATGTAATACATAGTATAAATAAAAGATAAAATTATCATCTATTAACAATTCATAAATTCGCAAATTACAATATATAGAATGTAGTCAAAATTACAATTGAACTTTGTTGAAATAAATGTAAAATAGTTTATGTGCAATATTTTGTTTTTGAGAATATTATTTTAAAAATTGGAAAATTAATAATAATTGAAAAATAATCTGTTTTACACACACACTTTACACATCTTAATAATCACTATCAAAGCATGATTAAAATAAGTAAAAAGCTTTTTTCAAAAATTTAAAAAATATATATTGAAAGATTCAATTACACTTTATTTCGTGTTTTGAATAATAAAAGATAATTGAAAATGATCAAAAATAAATTTCTAAAAATGAAATGTAAAATATTAAACTCTTATTTTTATTGTTTGCAATAAAATCTTGTATATTTTATTATTTATTATTGTTTAGTATTATTTATTTCAAGATATTATTAGAACAAGGTAGATGGCTTATAGCATAAGAAGTTAATCAAATTTATTCAAATTTATCAACGAGAAAAGACATTATTACGATTTCGATGGCATGCTATACGTTTATTAATATTTATTTGACATGTCTGTTAACTTTATTACCATTGCATTATTGCTTTCTTTGTACTCTAAACTATGTTTATTACTACATAATTAGCCTATTAAAAGCCAAATTAATTTAACGCGAATAACATTTAGCAATAGACTTATAACAAATACATTACAGCATCCCGGCGGTCCAGAGTTAATTGAGGAATATGCGGGAAAAGATGCGACAACTGGATTTGATGATTTCGGCCACTCTTCAGATGCAAAAAAGATGCTCAAAGAATATTTAGTTGGTGAACTTGAAGATGTAAGTATAAATTTAAAATTAACTAAGCGTAAAACCAGTTGTTATTTTACATCATTTATGACGGATGAACGTTTAGTATCACATCTCTTCGGGGATTATTGAATTTCATGATATAAATTTTATAAATAAACTCCTAATATTGTTCATTTCCTAAATAGTTCATTCGGCAAGATGTTATCAGATATAATGTGATAATATATATTACAGGAAGATAAAAGAGCAAACAGAAAGAAAAAGCGTGCTATTTCTAACGGAATAAAATTAGAGGGAACAGACAGATGTAAACGAAGGTACACTTTTGAATCTCTAATAGCATTAATTTTTCAATCAATTATAACAAAAAAATTTTTATATTACTTCACTTCATTAATAAGTAACGTAAAACGCGAAAATACATAATTATACATTGAGAGATATATTCTCTAAAAGTGTGATAATATTATTGCAAAAATTTCTTAGTATATATTTTTTATTCTTCGTATATATTTATTTTATATATATATTTTATATAGTATATATTTTTATCTTAGTATATATTTTTTATATTCAAAAATAATTAATTTAATAATAATATTGTTCAGTGCAATGTTTAATATAAATTGAAAATTTATTATGCATTGAATAAAGCTTGCCATTCGCTTCATGTTTCAGAACCTTCTTAAAAATACTCTGCGGCAAATGCGCACATTGAAGCATCGACTGCGTTTAGGAATTTTAGATATATAATTTTATTTATGCATTTAGATAATATAATTTTATTAACGCCATTGTATATTACAATTGCTATATCTACATAAGACTACATCATTATATGTGACGACGTGCGTAATGCCGATAAGAATCATCGGAATTAACAGCGATCAACTTATCGCTAATATACGCAACACGGAATATTCTTAACAGTGATCGAAGAAAATCAGCATTTTATATCTGCGGACACAAATGACTCATGCATCTCGTCTGGTTATCGCGTTCATAAACTTATAGCATTGTAAGAAGAGTGAGCATCTCATTGTCGAATAGAATTTCCAACTACTACTTGTAATACGGTTTTAATCCAACTTTAATTCAATTTCGTAGTTGCATCTTAACGAAATTCTGCGAATCAATTTTCTTTATTTGTTTTAAATTACGTTAATCTAGATGAATTTAATAAAGTTAAATTAGGACAAATTCTTTTAAATATGTAGATAATGTATATACGTATTATTTAAAAATTCTTAATGCCTTTACAAAATTATCAGTATTGATATATAATCGAATTACGGAGAGTGGCAGTGTTCATTCTTATTAATTGATTTAAATAAAGTGATACGCGCGGAACGTGCTCTGATAACGTATTCCGATATTTTAAGATATCGCCTGTCATGTAAAACACTTTGACATTGCGCTCGCGTTGCACTTGAGGAAAGTCCGTTTCGTAATCCGTGAATACGTGCCTACGACAAGGTCTTGCGAACTGTGAAACATTTGTCTTCATCGAATACGCAATAAAGAGACCTTTCGCAAACAGAAGCTTTATGTAATATGACTAGCGCTCAACACATACGAACACATTGTTGTTCGCGATTATTTAAATATTTATAATCAATGTAAAAAGTCTGTAAATCGTGTTTCAAAAACTATTTAATAAATATTGAGATTTATATCCAACCTCCTATGACTTGACCCGTCGCTCTAGACTTTCCTCGTAGTTTCGTTTCCGGCATCGGCGCGGCTTCTGATTTCTCTTTCTTCGCCGAATCAGCATGTTTTTCTTCGCGGTTTTCCTTATTCGACGGCGGAGTCTTTCCCGCAACGTCATCGCTGTTATTTCCCTCCGTACTTCCCGATGATTGCTGACGCTGATCGTCGACCTTTACCGTCTCTTCTTTCTGCTGCTCTTTTAATTTCGACTCGGTTGCCTCTTCCTTCTTCTCGGTTTCTTGCTCTTCCACATTTCCCTCTTCGCGTTTATCCTCTTTTTCAACTTTCTTCTCCTGACTAGACGTTGACTGCTTGTTGTCCTCCTCTCCTGCAGGATCTTCCGGTATAGGCGAAGGAGATCTGACCTCGATGGTTTTAATGTCGAGCGCCTTTTCTGCCAGTTTTTCCACACTGCCGCTACTCGTAGCTTTTAATACGCTTTTCATTTCTGTAACGGGACGCGGAACTATGTCTGTAGAGGCTTCTGCAATCATAACTTTGTTATTTCTTCGAGGAGCCTTCACGTCCTCTTCAGTCTCCTTCGAAGAGTCGTTCGCATCTACATGTGAATAAGTAAATATTTTCGCAATCGCAATATTTTATCTCAGTGTTTCAATATTGCATAATAAAATAAAAAGAAACTATTTTGTACTTTAAATCCAATAAAATTTAAAAAAGAAGGTGTCATTAAATCTCATTAAATTTTCTACAAAAAATTTATGCAAATTTGACGAAAAATTTATCAGCCACAGAAAAAATTATATGGGATTTCAAAAAATCCCATATAATTTACTTCGATATTATTTTTGCAAATTTATATTGAAAGACCGCAACGCTATTACACATCTAATAATTTTTAACTCACCTTCAGGCTGCTCGCCCAGCTTGTTCTTTCTCATCATAAACTTGGCGTAGGCTATTCTGGTTGTCGGCGTGAAATCCGAGAGATTTGGATTGTACTCGAGCAGTCGCTTCGGATCCATCGATTCCAGATCGGAATCCGGTTGATGTCGCAAGTGACGGCGCAGACTGCGTCGGGTTTGACGTTGTATCGCCTCGTTCGAACTTCCGATTGGATCCGTGGCGATGGTACTTTGTCTTACAACGGCATTCCAATCCTTCTTACTGGTGCTGCTTCCTTTCCGTCCGATAGCCTTCGCTATTTGACTGAACACGTCCTTCGGCTCCTTCTCGCTCTGAATCACAGCTTGCACAATGCCTTCCACTATGCCAATCTGGAAGTCCTTCTGCAGACGACGTTCCATCACTCTGCCCTTCTTGCCGGGTACTGAAATATACAAAATTGCGCAAGTGTGTTACTTCCGGAACGCATCACTTTCGGATTGAAATATTTTTTATAATTATATGGAAAAAAATTAATAAAATTTTATTTGAGGCAAATCGCGAAGCATATGTGTACTGTTTGTGTCTTCTTTGTCAAGCGACGGTGTGTGCATCCCGTTTTTCTTAAGAATATCGATAAGCTCGTATCGGAAACTCGATATATCCTGGCGAATCTCCCTGACGTCGTCCTCCGTGATAGCAAATTGGTCCCGTTTCGTCTGCTCGGCCGTCACATAACGGCGTATAAGCAGACGCACTACAGTGTCATGCCTGGTCATAGCTTTTTCACGAGATTTCTTCTGAAACAAAATCGTCAAATGTAATTTTGCAATATCTTTTACATAAGTATATATAAAAACTGCTCACGATGAAAGATCTCGTGGAGCGACCGGCGCTTCCACATTTCAGTAGCTTTTGGAAAGTTTTACTCGTCGGAATCATGTTAAATGGCGGTGGCACGGTATCACCGTCCTCGAAATAACTCATCCATAAGTGGCTCCTAGCGAATTTCCACTCCGTGTCAGACCTTTCCTAAAAAAAAAGATATACGATGTATATTGATATTAACATGAGATATAAACGTAAATCTCAAGAGAAAAAAATTACTTAATCTTCATATGTCACACTACTATTTGTAATTTATTGTGCAACGAGTTCAGATATTGACATCTACCGAAATAATTTGATAGGAATTCGACATCATAGCGATCAGCATGTTCAGCAGTACAATGACATTGATCACGGAGTAAGAGCCGAACATGAGAAGCGCCCAAAATCGCGTGAAGCTCTTAATGCCCGTTAAATCGAACGACATCAGATCGATCATGCCGAAGCTCGCCCAGAAGAGTGATTGCGACGTCTCGAACAAGCTGGAAACACAAGTGTTAGAATCTTTCGTTCAAAAATTCAAAGATCAAACTCGAGCTTTGTACTTGGCGAATCGTCTCCATATCGAACAAGCCTTCTCCTGATTGTCGAAATCCGGCAGGTCGTCAGACTCGTGATAACACTTCCTTTTCTCCAAATCCGCGTAATACCACATCAGCTGATTCATCCCTGAAACGAGCGGTGAGTTCAACAGACATTGTCCTACTTTCACATTTCCGTTCCGTACCAACCATTGAACCGTATTGGCATACCGGAAAAACAAAGAAAATTATTAGCAGTGCCTGAGAAACAAAAGTGGGATGATTTTTCGATTGGTACACGCGCGGAATGAATAAATAATGAAAGACGCCGTTACTCACCGCAGCCGAAGGCAAATAGCACGAGGGTGTAGATGAAAAAGAACTTGATGATGTCTATTATCATCCTCCCGAGGGAAATCTGGAGTGGCCCGAGATGAGGATTCACGCTGAATATGTGGACGAGTTTTAAAAAGCTGCAACACGCCCACACGCGTGAGACGCGCGTCAAACATTAATTGATGAAAAATACTTCTGCGAACCTGAGCACGCTCGAGAATCACCTGAATATCATCCCGGCGGCGAACGCCCCTTCCGAAAGTAGCATTGGATCGAACGCCTGCCATTGATCCCTCGGATACCAAGGATTTGAGCCGCTCCAATATTCCCTCTGTTATAAAATAATAGAATTGATTATACATGGAAGACGCGGAGAAAATTGAAAATCTTATTATTTTTCGCGCTTTGCATATTTTTGATAAAAACGTAACGAAATCCACCTGCACTATCCACCAGGCCGTAATACGCAAGCTTATCCAGATCACATAGAAGGTATTTTGTATGAAATCCACGATATTCCACAGATCCGATATGTATTCGAGTAATCCGTCCGCCCATAGAGATTTAATTTCGCCGGTAATTAAACCTGCAAAATAGTGTTTTGTCAAAATTGGGAAGAAATGACTCGCAGTAGCTTTTCTCGGCGATTTAACTGTAGATAAATCAACAAAGACCTTCTTTTTATCAGGATGAAATCAATTATTTGTGTGAATTCTGTATAAGATAATAATTTTTAGAAGACTTGTTAATTGTTTTTTTTTTATAAAATTAATAACAAATGCCATTGTGCAAGATATCAGCTTTGGCAAATTTATCAGCAATAATCAATATCTATTTTTTTATCAGATTATTCTTTCTATTATTGTATCTAATATTTTTTCAATTACATTATTCTATTATGTTAATACAATTAATTATCTTTAACGTTATATGACTGCGTTACTTATCACGTAGATGACAACGCCAGTCTCGACGAAACCCGGAATGCAGCCGCGCTCGTGCTTCTTCCAGCCGGCGAGTATCTCTCGCATCCATTCGTTGCCAAACAGTTCGATCAATAAGTACTCTATTCTTTGCGACGCCATGCCGAGAAGCACTGTAGATCAAATATTTGTCATTTCGGGTTATTTCAAGAAGTGAAAGAAAAACATGTATAGCATCAATCTCACTTAGGAAGAAAGCGTAGGACGCGGAATGACATATAAATTTCACAAATGGCTTCTTCATAAACAATCCCATTTGTGAAGTGGGTGCCATCATGTAAATAGTGCTGTAAACCGGAAACATCGCCCCGAGTTTAGCAACTTCCAGAAGCTGTGCCACCATGTTCTTCCGTCTGAATCCCGGAAGACCGTCGTACCAAATAGCAGCTAGTAACTGCTGCACGTTGGGATGAGCAACAAACTTTGAGGCACACACACACGCAGAAAAGCATATAAATCATACGGATAATTGTGTCAGAAAATATACGTTTGGTATACATATGCTTGGTAAGCAAAATATTAGCAATGTTGGCACATCGACACAGCAGATTTGATCAAATTTTACTGCCAACACTGCTAACATTTGGCTATCTGGCGATTTAATTGTAGATAAATCACAACAAAGACCTTCTCTTTATCAGAACAAAATCAATGATTTGTGTGAATTCCGTATAAGATAATAATTTTTGGAATACAAGACTTGTTAATTATTTCCTCATAAAATTGATGACAAATGCCGTTGTGCAATTATAAGATATCTGCTTTGGCAAATGGTATGTGGATAAATTATATGAAAATTTTTAATGCAATTTTTTTGTTTTTTACTATTGCAAACTGTTTCTACTAAATTTTCAATTTGTTTATTTTAAAAAAAATTTTTTTAAATATGTATAAATATATAGAACGTATGTTATTACATGTAAGAATACTCCGGAGTCTACATACTTGCTTTTGTTTATATTTAATAGCCAGTTTGAGCCGCTCCAAGGTCTGTCTCTCCCCAGGATCCCAATTCTCTCCGGTAGGATTGTAGTTCAACATTACTTCCAATTCGTAAGACGTGCGCGCGTGGTCCAGCAGAGAAGTTGCAAATTGCTGCGTCTGCTCCCGCATCTCCTAACGATCAATATAGAATCATTTATGCGACAGAGAAATGCGCAATAAACATGATCTTTTTTTCTCAAAAAAATTGCAACAGATGCTGCACTAGCTGAATTGGATTATTCGATTTTTATATCACGAGAATAGCGTAGGCAAGCGTGTTTAAATTGATACATAAAAGTACGTAATGAAAAATTTCGTACTAACATTTTCACCGTTTAATTTTGATAATTTTAATAATACGATTTTCAATCATAAATTTCAACAATAAACAAATTTGTTACAACTAAAATAATCATATTTAATTATTTTTGCGCCGAATTTATCGCGAAACTTACGCGCGCACATAAGAAGCGATCCGCGTGTGTTTCGTGCACGAGGGTTCAAGAGCCTAATATAAATTTTAGCTATGTACTGATCGTTCGAAGGGGCTCTCGAAGGAGAAGGAGGGTCATTAAGTTAAGTACGTTGTATAGGGCGCGGAATTCTTGCTCCATCCTGCTGAGGCGACGCAGTTCCCACGAAAGCTCGAAGGCCGTCAAAAGTGGGTCTCTCGATGAAAGCGCGATTAGAGATGACGAGGTGAGCGCCCGGTACGCATTTATTCGAGACTGCGAGTGTCGGAGGGAGTCCTGCTCGCTGGAAGTGACGCATTCATCGCAGCCGCATCTGCAGTAAAATTACAAAGCTGCTTTCTTCCTCGTTTACGTACAGAATCGTTCGACAGTACAAAAATAATTAATTAATTAATTAATTGTAATGTAACAAAAAATCCGAAATAACAAAACACTTTTTATTTGATTTAAAGAGAGAGAAATTAAAAAAACAATTAATTAAAAATCATTTTTGGTTTAAAAAATGTATTGATTTTCTTTCTTGATAATAATTTGCGATTAATTAAAAAAAAAAACTTTGAGATTAAATTAACTTTTTACTATTATGAATTATTTTATATTCATCTTTATGTCACCTAGCATCGTGAGGTGTCGGAAGAGTCGCGCCGCGATCCAAAAGCAGCTTCAGTATTTCGTAGTTATTGTAATGAGCCGCCAAAATGAGAGGAGTTATGTCAGGAGTAAAGTTCGACGACGAATCCACCGCCTCCCAGCTCTGAAATGATTGTGACAGTATCTCCTCCTATTTTCCACCTTTCTACTCCCGTAAAAAGTATATTTCTGACAAAGACATATGTATCGCTGCGAGAAGTAATCAACGAAATATGACAAGAATCGCATTATCGGACTCACGTAACGCTGCCCCGGCTTGTGTATTTTTTCCTCCCATTCCAGCAACACCTCCACCGCTTCCACGTACTCCTCCTTAATGGCGTGTAGGAGTGCATCCTGAAAGATCCGCGAATTAAGGTCCGTTTATACATATCCGTACCGTATACATTTAATCATATGGAATCGAATCTAGCATCCGTGCACGGACGTGTACGGTACGGACACGGTACGGATACGGTACGGATATGTATAAACGGACCTTTATTGTTTTATGCGGGATAATGCAAAACGTCAAACCTATGCACGGAATGCTTTCATCAGCGGTATCCCGGTAGACATCGATTACGGTATATCAGCGTAACGCGCATTATTCGCAATAATTAAGGGCAGCGGCCGTGGAGTGAATTTCATGAGAAACACCGTGTTGTTTCGACTCCACGATACTTACCTTCACATCGATTCCCAATTCGAGCAGTAGTCTAATGAGCTCGATGTTCTCGTTTTCAATAGCAGCTATTAGTGCCGATCGATTTAGCGGGTCGACACAATTGATATTTAATAGGTCCGGATGATCACGATTGTCCTCAATTAACCTGTTCAGTAAATTATGTATCAATTAATATTCTTTCCGAGATAATTTTGTACTAATTATACTTTGTAAAGGCAACTTCTTTCATCAATTTAAAGATAATAAATAAAAAAATCAAATTTAAAATATTATTATTGTTTATTATATTTTTCCTATTTTAATATTATACATCTTTGGAACTGATTCAAATTAAAATTTGTCTACGTTTTCTCCCGAGGCTAAGCTTATTATCTATCTTCAATTGTTAATTTGGTTAAAAGTTTTGCGAATACATTATCGTGTGTGATAAAGAAATTAATAAGAAAAACTGTAGGCTTATAAATGCTAAACGCTGTTGTATGTTTTCAACTAATATTTTAAAGTGGCAAATATCAAAGATCAGATTTTTGATTCTTTATCGGGTTCTTTTCAGTGAATGAGATACAAAAATGCAAATTATATGCAGAGTGATATAAATAAACGCAAGAAGTACGGCATCATAACACATGTGGTCCCGACGCAAAAACGATCGTGAATATATCATACGCGTCACGTTGCATTCGCTTGTGCTTCTCACTTGAATTTTAATATGTTTTTGATGCATTTTGCGTTTGCTGCCTTATTTTTAATACACACTTTTATTTCATTTTTCATCTTTGCACGTCGTGTGGTTTACAATATTCTATTCTTTTTACAAATTTCAGATCACCTGACTTTGTCCTATATTTTGAATTCTTTGAACTGATTATTTTCTATCATTTATACAGTTGTTAGTGGATTAAAATTGTCTAAAAATCAGTCTAAAAATTGTAATGCATTGCTAATAAACGAGAGCATGTTGGCCGTGTCACAGCGTAATGTGTCCTCCTGAAAAATTCTTTTTAATTAATTAACTTTTATTAATTTTACATACTGCTTTTTATGCGATATCACATGTAATGCATTATAACAGTGCTCGGAATTAGTCTGAACATTTCAGCCGATTTCCGTGGTATACGCCTCCTTTCCTCTCCTTACCGCGCGCGCCGCAGCCGCTAGGGTCAGCGCCGTCGAGCGTTAGGACACTATCTGATTATGAGTGGGTTCTTCTCCCTATTTATTAAAATTTAAAAATGTATTAAATTTATTAAAATAAATTTTTATTTTAAATTTATTAAGTGGAAATATTTCAATAGATTTCCACGTCACCCATAAGATACTAATGCTGACGCGTTTTTAAAAGTAGTTTCCCCCGTAGACCTATTCCACTAAAGATAAAAATAAAATTCTTAATTTAAAAAAAATAATATAAAAGAGATTTTCTTAATTAGATTTTCTTGACCTTTTATGAAAATGAACAATTGATGCAATAATGTAGATAGAACCACTTTTTAGAAAACGTGTCAGTATTAGTACCTCATGGGTGACGTAGAAATCTATTGAAATATTTCCACTTAATAAATTTAAAATAAAATTTATTTTAATAAATTTAATAAATTTTTTAAAATTTTAATAAATAGGGAGAAGAACCTACTCACAGAACCTAATCAGATAGTGCCGCTCCTAACGCTCGGCGGCGCTGGCCCTAGCGGCTGCGGCGCGCGCGGTAAAGAGAGGAAAGGAGGCGTATACCACGGAAATCGGCTGAAATGTTCAGACTAATTCCGAGCACTGCATTATAATATCACATTTTCTGCTTATGTCTCTCTGTAATTTACGTTTCTGTACTTTATTCGCGATTTATCATTGAAAAAGATCCGATAAAAGATCGAAATGTCTGATATTTTAATATTTTAATATTATAATAACTTTGAAATATTAATCTAACAAAATCTTTATTTTTCATTATGGATTTTTAGTTTTCAAATGTTTATTTTTATTTAAAGTTTTTAAGAAATAAATGTTTTGCACGCTCGGTCGCGCGGACGCAGGTGGAGTTTATTCCAAATCCTAATTTATTTTACGTTTCGCCAGGATATTTTTGCAGGGATATTAACGCGGTGCAATGCTCAGGATTACCTTTTGACAGTGGCACAATCACCTCGCTCCGCGCTGAGCAGGAAATGCTTCTCGACCGGGCCAAGAATATACTCTACGGGCGTGTGTAACGACTGCACTGAGGGTGATCTCGCCTCGTTCGATAGTAGATCTTGCTGCGATTCTGACGGATTCATTTTTCTTCAAAATATTTTCACAAAGTATTCACACGCTGAAACAACTGTCAAAGACATCAAAGTTCCTCTAAAATGTCCTTTTAAACAACTTAAATTTTCATAATTTTTGAACTAGATTTATGCAGAGTATTCTTAAATTATTTTATTTCCACTACAGATTCTCTAAGCTACTCAAAATTGATTTATAGTTTTTAGTAATAAATAATTTCAAAAGCTTTGACAAACTTTAATAAAAAAATAACAAATCTATATTTTAGATAATTATGCGACATTCTGCATTTCTGGTTCCAAAATTATGCAAATTGATTGAGATTACACATCAATGTATAAAAAAACATGATAACTATTTCTAATATAATAATATGAAAAATTGATTCAATAAAATTCATACATTAATATAAAGAAATTGTCTGAAAGTTTTGTGCTCTCTTTACCAGCGCTCATTCCGTTATGTATAAAGTTCTTCGAGAATGGGTCACGCATTCTGGGTTAAGGGCTAGCTCTTTGTCAAGACCGATACTTCGAAGAAATCTGTTCTACAATATGTAATCTTTTGTTCATGCAAATGTATAAAAATAGGAACGAATAGATACAAATACGATGATATAGCAGGTAGGGCTTCCTCGCATATATATTGCAAGGGATTAAATCAACTAGGGCAGTATTTTTCCTATTTTGCAGTTAATAAAAATTATAATTCGCAATTGTTCTGATAAAAATATAATATTAATTGTAGCTTTAAACTAGCCATGATGCAAGCAGCGCGCATTATGTTAAAATATAACTACATAAAATGCAAAGTTAATGGGTACAAATTTTTACATCAATCTTTTAATATATCTCAATTTTTAATAATTCAAATTTATGTCAATTTTAACAAATCAACATATTGTTATTTTCTCTTAATTATATTTTTTAATTAAAATATCAAAATAATCACAAATACTGTTGCTTGATAAAAATGTAGAAAAATTGTTAATTTTGCTTCTAAAAAATTTTTCCTAAATAAAATAGTTACATTTTTTTTTTCCATTACATCACATATTATTTATAATATAAGATATCTCAAAATCACTAGATATTGTTATTATTTAATAATTAATTGTTTTAATTATAGCATTAATTAACATAGCAATCAACATGAAATCGACTATATGCGTGTACAAGCCTTATTTATTTCTTTTTTAAAATTTATTTCATCGATAACTTTTTGTTTGTTAATTACTTAAAGATTACAGGAAAAAGAATTCGCGATAAAAGGGACATCTAATAATTCTGGGACACTCTATATAAAAATAAAACAAATATCAATATTCCTGTAGCATTTAAGTATAGAGAAATAAAGAAATAAAAATTTGTATAATAAATAAATTAACATCCCCCATCGACTTGGATCACTAATCGTACAGGAAACGTATATACTTACGTTTTCGTTTTTTTTACTTCGCTACCATGCTCACGCGAGAAATGCTGGGCGTAGACTGTATTACGGTCACATCTACGCGCGTTTGGCGAAACCTTACGACGCCGTCAGCCAGGGGTTGATCTTCAGGACGCGGATTACGCACGAGCGAGGGCGCGTATGGAAAGAAAAGAGCAGCCGGACTCACCGACGACGACCGTGCCACATTGTCCAACATTGTATAGCACTGGCGTGTTATCATTGGCGTGGATCGAGAGAGAGAGAGAAAGAGGAGAGAAGGAGAAAGAGTATCTATTTCTCTTTTTCTAACCCCCCGATTAATGGATCGCGAGTTTCATGATGAGGAACAGCGCGGCTAAATCCGAGGCTCGTATGCTGCCAACGCGCTCCGCTACATTTTTCTTCATTTCTCGCCGCCTCGCGAATTTTCTTCCGCCTGTCCCGCATGATTATTTATCTTTCCAGTGACGTATGTCATTTTTTAGTGCTACACATCCGTGACAATTCGAGGAACGTTACAGAAAAACACGAAACTAAAATACAACACGTCCAAAGACTGATGTGACACATGAGAAGGCATGTTCGACGCGACAGATGAAAAAATATTAGATATCTAATGCGTCTTGAAAGAGACACGCTGCGAGCTTGAAGCTGTGAATGATTACGCGATCGCAATTACAAACTGAAAAACATTACATTCTGAAAAGCATAATTACAGATGAATAAAAAATTTATATATGAATTTGTCCGGAGAACAATTGGAAAGTTATTCTCACCTTTAAAGTGCACAAACTTCGAAAGATATAAAAATGATAAATAAAGAAGCAGATAAATTTTATAAGTAGAAGAAAATTGAATACTGCTTCTCTTACAAGTTAAAGAGAAGTTAAGAAAGTTCCCCAAAAGTCAAATAATTGATAAGCTGATTATATTCTCCCAGCAATTTGCTAATGGCGGCATAACAGGGTGGAAAACAGGCTTAACATCGCGGGGGAGAAAATTGATCATTCTTCCAATAAGATAAATAAAGAGAGAACAATTATCAGCGGGAGAATTGGTGGACGGATTGTACACAGAAACAAGCTCACATCCAGCCACTTTGTTTCTTTTTAATTATATGTAGTTACGTATTAAATTTACATATATCATAAGAATGACGTTAGGCTACCGGGGGGGGGGGGACAACATAGGTGCAGTTTTGACATATTCCTATGATACTTATTATTTATGCGACGTGCGAGAACCTCGAGCGAATTCAGTTGGTGTTGCCATTAGCGTTGCCATCGCCGAAACCGAATTCGCTATTAGTGCCAGGCGTCGAAGATGCGACAGAGAGAATGCGCACGATTACAACACGAATCTGCGGCTACATTAACGATCTCGAAACGACGGATATCGTCGCAAGTTTATATGTACATTGAATAACGTTAGTGAGACAGATGGATGTACAGCGCTGTACCCGATATAATATTCGCGGCTCGGCATTTGCTATCAGCTTGCTGACGTGCCCTGTTTAGCGCCATTTTTCTTTTCTCTCAAGATGAAATAAAATAAATGATACAACGTTTATCTGCGAACATTATATATGTGCATATAGTTCAATAAGGATTGATACATTTACCACAAAAGCAAGTAGAATGATGACGAATAAATAGCCTCGACGTTGCGCGGAATATTGTCATAAAAATAATAAATTAGAATAATATATCGTAAATGCATTTCTGTTTTGTGTTGTTGGCAATTTCAAAGATACCTTTTCGCAATTTGCAGCTTAAAGAATACTGATCGCTTTATAGTGTCGAACATGCAATTCGTGACACAAGACATAAACTATGTACAATCTGTAAATTGCTAATATTAACAGTGTATTAAAATTATCAAATTTTATGCGGATTTAATTTCTCTTTCTCTCAGGCAAGCAACAAGTGAAAATTAAATACAAATAAAAATTATAGAGGCAGACGTTGCGTTTAATTTCGATTGACGATGAAACAATAGGCAAAACTTTCTGTGAATAGATCCCATTATCTTTTTTTTTTTTATAATTTTATAACAGATTCTTGTGGGAATTTGTTACAACAGAATTTGTTTTATGAGTGAATGTTTAAAATCCGCTTAAGTACAAGCGCGCTGATAGTAACGCGATCCGATTATCATCTCAAAGCCAAATGCAGCTCGGTCGCGGCTTAATCGGTTCGATAAACCGGGAATGCTGTGATTCTCGTTGACGTCCGTCATCGAATCCTCGGTGAATCTGTACGGAACGATCCCGGATTTCGGACGAGTTCGGGTAACAGCAGCACCGGTTCACTCGCGACGATCGAGCTGGTCCTCGAAGGTGTCCAAGCTGATATCGCCGGTGATCTTGCCGAGACTGTTGCAGAGACGATACAGTCTCGACACATCCGGATGTAAGGCTGCGTCGCTGGCCACGCTGCTTGACATGAGTGCCGAGCACATCGCGGATAAATTCAGATCAGTCGGCACCACTTGTATATTGCGACCAAACCTGTTTTAAACGGAAATTATTCATTTTTTTTTTTTTTATCTCAATCAGTAATATTTTTTTTCTATTCAATTTTATTTTTATCCATGTTTCTATAACTGTTTTCTAAATCTGTCGATCTACAGCGTCATCAAAAGTTACATAAATATTTAAAAAAAGATATTTCTATTTTCGAATTCTATTTCTTTTTGCCAAAGACAGAACTTTATGTTAAAAAAATTGTTCTGCATTTATTCTAATTTTTGAGATTAATTACTCGCTTTTTGTGCAAAATTTTGTATTGTCCTGCATATTCTTATCTTTAATATTATTCAAGTCGCAGGAGAGCATCTCTTTAGCGCGGCGCAATTCAGATAAAAGCGAGCATTAAATATAACCGAGAAAAATGATCATGTTACACGTGTGTGTTGAACTTTGCAGTGTCACAACGCGTAGGAAGGAAGTAACAATGAGTGGATACGAATCCCTAGAGTGAATCCGTTATGCCATTACGTCAGCGTCCATTTCTCTGCTTTAGAGTCTTTTTTAAGACGCGGCACAAGTATTGTACATTCTGATTTCGCGTACCTGCGAGCAAGGATCGTACTTTTCGCACGCGTCATTTTAAATAGCACATTTGCGTTCGATATATTTGATGATCGTGCACCTGCGCTCTTCTTATTTATCATGCACCGCAAAAACGTTACAATGTGAATATATTTAATTTCACATTTGATATTTTATGACCATATTTGCGCTACACCTGCGTTTCCTTTGTTTATGCGCATCGCGCAAGTAGTGCGAGCTCATAGCATTTGCAATTTCATAAAAAGCATCCCATGCTTAGCCCGGGTGTCATTTTCGAAACATTACCTAAGTACATGAAAATAGATACAACATATTTTTACAATCGACTTTCAGCAGCGAGGAAAATTTTTTCAGGATACATTTTGGTACTGTGAGTGTTAAAAAGAGTGCGACAAGACAATTACCTAATGAAATTAAGATCGTTTCTCTCGCGTTTGAGTTGCTCGCCGTTAGCCTTGAGGTTGGACCGACCGAATCTGATGACGATGTCCGGCGACTTCCATCGCGGATGCCTGCTGACCTTCGGATCAGTTTCGGCTGCCGAGTTATCAACGGTATTGAAGGCCCGTCCAAATCTAATGAAGGAGGAACTCGTACTGCGTCTCTCTTTGGACTCGGCGTCCTCTTTACGTTCGTCGATACCGTGTCTTTTAACCATGTATTCGAATTCGTTCAGCGGTTCTTTAAAGATCCTTAGACTGCCGTCATCTTTTGGCGTCAAAATCGAAGAAGACACGAGCGCCCAGTTGCAGAGGAATGCCACTGCGTTGAAAGTCCAGAGTGTAATCTACACGACGAACAAAGATTGCATTGACAAAGCTCTGTATGTACTGTGCGTATAATCTTTATTTCAATTTGGAGAATTTTCATGAAATATAATTCTCTGCAATTTGTTTATTTTTATAAAGCTCGGAGCTTTAAAAATATCTTCCATTTTATTGCTAACAAGCAGAAAACTATATATTTTTTATTAAAGAAATTAGAAACTCAAGAATGAGACATTTCGTACATCTCTTTTTACTCGAATTAATTTATATCCCATTTTTTCTTAACAAAAATATAAAAAAATCAATAATAAAATACGTAACTATAAACAAATATGATACATTAAGTTAATCGACTTTTATCAAAGAAAACCCGCATGATTGTAAATTTATAAAAAAATAATAATTTTAATATTGTAATTAAGTAATTCTGTAACAAATTATCAAAAAAATAATTAAAGTAAATTTAATTAAGTAAAATATATTACAATATGCAATTGCTTACTAAATCAATCGTGACATTATACGCATGTGAATTTATAATCTTAAGCAGAACTGAGATTATAAGTTCGTAAAGTTCGTGAAGAAGCAAGAGACTTCATTCAATAATACGTGATTAATTTGTTGAGATCACATAGCTAGGATTACAAAGTGCAACAGGAGCAACGTGTCATCCAGCGCGTACGTCACGATAAATTATATTGGCGTCTTATTATCTGTATTAATAACCTGTTTAACAATATCACGGTGCACCGAGCAAGATTAATACGGTGCCTTATATTACTTTAATTAACTCTGTACGTGACTGTCCTGTATAATCACGTCACCCGCAAGCTTGATGCGTGTAAAAAATTGTGAAAAAGCTGCTGCCTTAACAGAAATAAGTATTAATATGAGGTAGGCGGTATTTCATTTCTTAATTAACCAATCTTTATCTTCACTTTACTCGCATCCCGTCTATGTATACAAGCTTTCGTATATGCAGATGATATCGTGTTACACTAGATGTCCGCCACTAGATGCCCGTGTTAACGATTAATTCTGGAGTTGACATTCTGGACTTGATATTTTTCATCGACAATATTGAAACGCAATAGTAATTTCTATACAATTAATAATTAAAAATAAAGCGCTTTATGTAAGCTTGATAAATCCAAACAAATGATGAAATTATATTTTTCAATAAATCCGATTATGAAAAATAATGACAAGGATATACGCAAGATTAATTAAAATAATATAAGCCAGCTGTTGTAATGCGAGCATTAATCACGGCTACCGTTCTTAAGAAAAGACGAAATTGCTTTGATGCTTTGAATTAGAATTTATTATAGATTGCTGTCTTCATTATCCCTTGAAATGCAAATAAATTTTTTTTTTAATTAATAATTTTCGTGAAAAAATATTTTGTCCGGGCAAAGTTTAAAATTTTAAAGTTTTTTTCTAAACATTATAATAATTTAACATAACATTAAAAAACTGTAAGTAAAAATTAACAAATTACTAGAATGATTTATAGTAACCTGTAAAAAATTGCAATAAACAATAATTTCCATTCACTTTTTTAAAAAGAATTAAATTGGCATTCCGAATTGACACGATATAATAGTTAAATATTTTAAATTTTGTATTTTCTGAAATTTTAAAGTAAAATATTAACATGAAAAATATAAACAAAAATGCAATTTTGTTTCTTAACCATTATTATATTATTTTTTATTTTTTGAAATACACGCATTGTATATTTTGATAAAAAAATTGAATTAAGTAACATTATGAAAAATTTGGTCTACATAATCCCTTGTCACCTGCCTACATTTCAGTCAATGTCATCCCTTGAAAATGAAATAGATGTGTTTTTTCGTCTTGTCATCTTAATTGCACTAAATAAAATATCGTAAAATAAACGAGCTTTGTTAGCGTTATTTTTTAGCAAATAAGTTAACGTTGCAAATTTTAAATTAATATTATGCTTAAAAAAAGTAACAGAAACCGCTAAAATAAATTAATAAGAAAATAAAATTTAATAAAATCACGTACACTTTGTGGAAATTAAAAAGAAATGCATGAAGTTAATGTGCCTTCCTGTGGCTTACATAATTTCAATATCAAGAAAATATAAATCTCTAGTAGTGTGGTGAAAATGAAAATCCAAATTAATAGGAAACTATATCTTAATACTGTGGAGAAAGGAAATCGCGTAGAAAAGCAACAGCGGATTTGCAGTGAAGACCGACGGCAAGCTCGCTAACTTAGAAAATATGCAAACTACTAATGTGCGAAATACATTAGCTATTTCTGATAAAATTTTTGAAAACACCCAGTTTGTATTAAATTAATGTAAAAAAATTGTTTTATCAAATAAGATGGAAAATAAAATTGTATAGCTTCAAAGCAATTAATTAACAAAAACAATTACCATCACTATAACTCTCTTTCCTTCTAACATAAGAAAGGATTTCTCAGTTGATCTTGAAAATATGTTTAAATTCTTGATTTTATTTAAAGCAGAATTTAATAAGAAAAACCACACACTTTAATTTTAATCATCTCAAATAATTCTAGAAGAAAATCTACTTTATATGAAAATTGACCATTGCTTTAATAATATAGCTTAAAAATCTTTAACACACACATACATGCACACACCCTCCTTTTATCCTTTTTTTCTTAGTATCCTATATACAAAATTAAAAATGCTATTTATTAATATCTAAAAATCATCGATAAATTATAGGTAAAAAATATATATATTAAATAATATATATCAAAACCTTAATAATATATATTAAATAATATATATTAATAATATATATTAAAATCTTAATAAATAATTGCAACTTGAGTCTGTGATATATAAAAGGTAAAAAATTCTTTCCTCAATCAATAACACCAAAATAAAATAAGAAAAAATTCACGATCAGTCGATATCAAACGTCCTCGGGTCTATCACCATCTAGATTGAAATTGAAGCGACAATCCGGAGAGTCATTACGGATCCACAGTCAATTCACCGAACGATCACTGAACGATTCCGTGACATCGCAAGCAATTGTCAGACACTCACTCACGACAACGATAAAAGCACTCACCATGCTGTCGGCTTTTTCGGCTTCTTGCGCAGACGATCGGAAGACGTACGCGGATGTGAGTGTCGAAAGAGCGATCGTATACGGTGGTGTATGGCGACGGCGTGGTTTGCAGCGTGTTGGTGGTGGTTGGTAGCAGAATGGGTGTCCGGGGTTGGAGTTGACACCCTTTATATAGGGGCACCCTCGGCGCGCATCCCCCGCGCTGGTTTTCTCACCGCGTGAGAGAAGATGGTCTCACCTGAATTATGATTGGCCGGAGCTTACAACACGATACCTCTACATTATTTTGATTCAATTACACCACCACCGGCTACCGACCTACGTAATCTCCTTTATTATTTATGACTGTCGGCAAATAATAATCATAGGGGCGGGATGCCTTCGGATCCTTCGTTATTGTCGTCGTCGTCGGCGTCATCGGCGTCATTGGCGACAATGTCGTCGCCGATCTTTCCTGTCTTTACTCTCTCCTCGCTCTCCCTTTTACTCTCTCTTTTATCTTCCTTTCTCTCCTTATGTCATATTTTTGCAGAAATAATGACGCCAAGATAGACAACTCTCTGTTTCGCGCATGCATGCCGCTTTGACCTATTTCATGAATACAGAACGAAATGCAACAGGTAGAATGTGTTCGTCCGACAGTTACTCGGCTACTTTTACGTGAGCATCTTTTTTTTCTGCGAATATGTCACAGACGAAAAATGATGTCTCTCGCCAAAATTATTGCCAGTCAAAATAAAATTGCGTAATAGGTGGACTTTGCGAAATTAACTACGCGTTTGATTTATACTGACTCTAATGTTTGATTAACGACTTATATGTCAGAAAAGTTGGAACAGTTCCAAAAGCACGTAAAATGCATTACGTGCGAGCCTGCACATTCACTTGCTCTAACCGTAGGGATACCAAGTTGAAGCAAAAAGTACACTGAAGCTTTTAACTTTTAATATACATACTACGCACATGTAAGATAGCCATATTTCATAAGTTTGCAACGTAAACTCATTTTTCCTTATATTAAATATCTCACAAATGTCTTGCAAATATCTTGCAATATTATACTCTTATAAAGTGTTATACAATAAATTATTAATAAATTTAATAATTATATTATTGATTCTTACTTTTTTGTCAACTTTTTCTTAGCAAAAAAATATTAAAATGCTAATAATTTTCAAATTAAAAAAGGTTAAAAGGAAAAGCTTCTCACGCAGTTCTTTCCTCTTTTTTTTTGCTTTTTAATATCCAAACATCAGGCAACCAAATTGTATAATAAAACTATAATTTTTAACTAACTTTAAATGAAGTTTACTTTGTAAATTTTTAATTTCAAGTTTGTTTAGAAAGATATATGAGGCTAATAATTAGAAAGTTCAGATAAATAATTTTCTTCCGTTTTTTACTACGGAAATTTACTTCAAATTAAAAAAAATTAAGTTAACAAATATTACGAAACACTGACCTTTTCTGAATTTGACATAAAAAATAAAGAATTTGTTACAAATTGGATTAGAAAATCGACGCGCATATATGAAGGACGAATAAATAAAATATAAGCTACAATCTTTCTTAAAAAGCAGAACTTACGTGCAGAGAGGATCAGAGTCCGTTATGCTTCATTGCATAAGCTCGCATTCAACTTTAATATTAGCATAAAAATCGTATCTTTATTGCCGACATCAAGCGAACTATTGAATAGACGTAATTCACACTCGTTACTGCATAACGGTAACAAGATGCACGTAACATATTACGTTACATTAATAAAAATTTTTTTGCTACCACTTACTTTATTAAATATGCGTTTTTTAATTAATAAATACTTTGAAAATTTTTCTCACTCTATTTTACTGCTCAAAAAGATCGTTTTTTCTAGAAAAAGAAATATATTTTAAATCGTATTATATATTTTTATATAAAATAAATTCTATAGAAGATATACATTTCTCTGCAAGGAAACTCTTTACTTTTAATGATTAATTAATCTAAAACTTGATACTTTCTCTGAAAAAATATCGATTTTAAATGTAACTAAACAATTCATAGGCATATTTGGTAGTTTGAGGACATTCTATATATGTTTATTTGCAATTAATGATTGAAGTAATTGCTGAAAGTGTTAAGCTGCGTGATTAATTGTTTACTACAATTTTAAATTTTACATTACATTAAACTCGATGCAGTTATAAAGAGAAGCGCGTAGAGTCTTAATTCATATTCCTGAAAATTTTAGAAACACAATTTTAATCGGTTTCTATTTAGAATGCTCGATTCCATTTATGCAATTTACTCGGGCATAGATTTCTTAGAATAAAGACTGGTGTATTTAATTTTTGTTGCGGCGAAAATCTGGTTCTAAACCCTCAAACGAATTTGTCCGTATTGAGCTCGCACTTTTAATTTAGCCATACAATTAATCTATGTGTCACATAATTAAAATACGCGTGGGAAGAAATTATCGCGAGCGTTTACCCGCTGCAACAGATAATAGAATAGCGGCGACTGTAATATCGCTTTGCTACGCACGGCATACTGGTGTGCTTTGAACAATTTTAAATTTTCCACCAAAGTTAAATTGGTGTTTTCACGTTACAAAAGCGTTGTAATTAACAGTAGCGTTTTAATTGCCCTTATATTTTACCGGATATCAGAGAATCATTCTTCCGTAGTAATTTCTATTTATTCGCGAGATAGTTTTCTGCGAAAACTAACGAAGCGGTAATTAAATTTCGTAGTAAAACGTAGTAAACACGATGACTAATTGCTCTCTTGTTTCTCAGTTTTGTTTACATTGCCGCTGCACTCGTATCTTCGAAATTGTCAATTGTAACAATATTTGTCGAAGCTTGCTTTGACGGAGAAAAAAATGTTACAATGATTTAATAATTAGAAAGCAACGTTTCGCAATCATGGCAGATGATGAATTTCTTTCAAGCAGCTCACAGTGGATTTACCTCCACTAAAATTTAAAGCTTATTTAGAAAAATGCTAACAGTAAAGATTCGAAAATGCTACAAATATACTTTAACATTTTTGGGAAAAAATTATCTCCAGATTGATCGAAGATGCCGCGATAGAAAGGACTACTCGGTGATGCTTGTGCGCATTTTGTGAAAGACAAAATACTTTGCGACATTCAATTGATGAAAAATAAGGGCTGTAATTATGATATCGTTGCGATTACGCGCACAATTGAAAGGGTTCGGCTTAAATAATGTAGAAGTATCTCCGGTGGAGTAAAGAGGTCAAAGTCATTGCGTTTCATTGAACAGCGGTAGGCGACGAAATGTCTATTCAACAGGTTGTTAACTACTTAAATCTATGGTAGCCCCTTCTTGCCACTCTTGTCTGTGGCGGTACCGACGTACCGCGCTTCTCACGTAGTCAGTGTCAACTCGACGACGGTTCGCACTTCAACTCGCGATGCGGCTTTCTTGTACCATCTATTCGGCGATCACGCTTATTTTATTCAGCAACATAGTGTTGTATGCGAGCGGCACGCCGGAAAGTAAGTGATAACCGAGTATCGCGCCAAGCATCCCGAATTCCTACCTGAGATCCTTGCGGCACCACGTCGGACATTTTCGCCAAAGAACGCGACCAAAAATAAAAGAATACAAAATTAAAATATTTTTTATTTCTACGTTATTCATTTAATTGGCAAACTATTCATCTGTAATGCATCGTTATTTGAAAATTAGCCGTTGTGATGATTCGTTACACCTTATGATTGCATCGTATATTGTTCATTCGCATCTGTGGCACAAAATTCTTAATATTTAAAAATAATTTTAAAGTAAAGATATTAATATATATCCAAATAAATAAATAAAAAGAATGTCATTGTCACAAAAGTATTTTTATCGTTGCAAATGTAGATATTCTATTAGCAATTTTTATCGATATTTCAAATTACTAAAAAATAGCAGATTTATGCAATTTTTTGTATTTCGAACAATTGATATCTATAATATTCTGTTAACTTCGATATAATTATTTTGTGCAATGTTTTTTAATAAATAAGATACCAACAAATATCATTAACGCAGACAAATACTGCCACCGGCGTACGATGTATTTTATTTATTTTTTTTTTTTATGTTTTTCTCTTGTTTTTCATCATATCGTGTTGAAATGTCTAATATTGAAATCTGAATTTATTGAAATTATGCCTATAAAACACACTTATGGCAATCGAGGTATTCCCTGACGGACGCTCATGCTTCCTTATTTATCACAGTGACTACAGATTGTCGTCATTTATCCACTTGTACTGTCATTCAAAGCGAATCAAATGAATGAATGAGTCCCAGTATTTTAGAATACATGTACCATTCGCAGTCAATAATGTTGCATATTTGCAAGATAGCGATAGCATCGCTATTACTGTAGATTTATCTGTTTTGTTCTGCAATCTTTGCAATTTTTACGTTTAAATTTAAATACTGTATTTATATAGAAAATACTTTACATAAATTATGATCATAATGGCAGACTTTTTCATAAACTTGGAATTTATTTCGTTCTTACATCTGTAAAAATGTCTAGTAATTTTTTTATTACATTAACAATTAAAAAAAATGTATATATACACATGTATAAATTTTTTTAATTATATATACATACAATTAATGAATTATTGTAATTATTAACAGCGCGACAGCCTCTATTACTTACGAGATGATCTCGCGCGAACGGTAAACGTGGGCAAAGCGCGAGTCGTTGTATCTCACGTAATTAACAAGATTACAGCTTCCGACATTGTCCCTCGCGATATAATTTACAGGGTCCCCTATGTGGAATCAAACCTGGACCGATCGACTAAAGGCAGATCTGTTCGTGAAATACGATAAATTCGCCCGGCCGACGCAGCATTTCAACAGCACGGTGGTCGATTTCGACATTACTATTCTTTATATCGATGTGGCAAGTATGCGAGCAATATTAGAACGCGTGCGGGTGTGACTTTACTCTCTCACAATTTTACAATTAGCTATTTCAACTTGCAGGATGATTTCAGATCTACCGTCACCGTTAACGGGTGGACTTATCATGTGAGTATCGCGTAATAATACATTTGGTTATTGCAATGCAATACTTTCTTAACTAATTAATTAATAATTAAAACTAACAAATTAATTAATTGATAACTAAAACAGACATGACACATAGGCATGCGATATCTCACAAAATTTCCTATCAATAATTAGCAATGGACAGATGACAAGCTCAAATGGGATCCCGCAAAGTATGGCAATATTCAGCATATTCACGTAGGAAACCACGAGGTATGGCAACCGGATGTTCTGCTATATCACAGGTATACAATCCTGTATCTTGATTCTCTGACAAATCCAAATATCTAAAATCACATCAGAAATCGGTTTTTTTCAACCAGCGGGACTGCGGGCACAGTTGAGCATTATGGCGATACGTCGTGCATCATCTCTCACGACGGTCAAGTGCTGTGGGTCCCGCCTTCGCAGTTTATCGGACTTTGCGATCTGGATATGCGCTTGTGGCCCTTCGATACGCAAATCTGCACTCTAACGTTTGGCTCCTGGACGTATCATGGCGAGCAAATCGATTTACGATTGGGTAAAACCCAAGAAATGGTATGAGAAATGTTTATTATATTCTATCGTATTATTTTCCTGTGTGTGTATAAAGTGTACAAAAGTTATATATTTTCTGAGATAAAATTGGATTCTCACAATCTTGGTAGTACAAATAGAAAAATGGCTATTTTACATGGAAAAGTTAAAAATGTATGAAGAAATTTCTTCATATAAAGCTTTGTTCTCTAGAAAATTAATTTTAGAAATTAAGAATTTAATAATAATTTTAATTATTAATTATTTTATAACATAAATCACCTCAACAGCAGTCATTAAATAATTTTCCATCTTTTAAAAAATGTAAAATAAAAAATTTCCATACCACGCATTCTTTCATGTAAAATCTCACTGATCTTCATTAATAATAAATCGCTCCATAATTTATTTAATATAATTTTCTCATAATAATAATCGACTTGTCCGACATGTTATCTCATAAAGAAATTAAAAAACAAATAATTTATAACAGGAAATGAGGTTTGTGAAAAACGCGGAGTGGACATTATTGGATTTGGCGAAAAAGCGCGAAGCAGTCACTTACAGTTGTTGTCCGGATCCATACATCAATTTAAAATTCACTATGACATTAAAGAGGAACTCGGCCCTTTATTGTAGCATATTGCTGATGCCTGCTACTGGTGCGTATCATTATCATTTAGATAATGTTAGCTCTGAAACAACCGCTTATATACACGCGTACATGTGCAAATACATACACACACAGTGTAAAAAAAAATTACATAATATTTTATTGGGATATTTTTAAAACAACTGTGTAACTACGCTCATTTTAAAACCGCAATGATTTAAAAAACAAAATCTAGGTCAAGTCTACTGACCTGACACGCGATCGATTCGCGAGTTAACCAGCTGCGTATATGAGATTAGTCTGAGAAACTGAAACTTATCACAATCTAAGTTGAATCCAGTCTACAATATTTACGTTATAAATTTCCAGCCATAGTTTTCCTGGTTCTGGTCACGTTTTGGCTACCACCTCAAAGTGAAACGAAGATCAGCGTTGCGGCCTGTACTGTATTGATCATCGCCGTGTTTTTAGCCTACTTCGGTGTTAAAGTGCCATTAACCACGAACCCTCCGCTTATAGGTAGACTAACGCAAAAGCCTGATACTTTTAAGATCTTCAATTATTTTCAATTATATCTTAAAGAAAATAAATGACACATGCTACAGTAAGAAATTTGCCCGATTTAGAAGGATAAAAAATATGCCACCTGATTGTGCTCTGAATTATTATCATTCTTTATTTTTAAATTATTTATTATTTTGTTTAAATTAATTAATTAAAAAATCACAAATTAAACAGTTATGAAAAGAAATATATATTTTATATGTACGATTTATGTATCAAATCTATTTACACGGTGTAAACTTTTTTTAAAAAACTTACGTAATAATAAAAATATTAATGCTTAAAAATAATTAGATTTATATTTAAAAGTAATCGGATAAAATATTTATCGTCCTTTTAAATCGCGAGCAAATTTTGCTGTGAAGATAATGACATAAATTATTGATAACTAACATTTGCTTTTACAGTTTACTTTTATAGTGGTTGCCTCTGTTTAGTAACAATTTCATTGATACTATCAATAATAGTGATCAATATAACAAAAAGGACTTACTGCAAACCACTTCCACGAAACATTAGACTGTGTCTGCTAAGTTGGCCTGGAAGACTGTTAGGACTTTCGGATCTTATAAGCGTGGTAAATCGATCGATTAATATTTTAATCGCATTATAAGAAAAATACTCATTAAAAGAAATATGAGTTGAATATTTCCTATCTATTTCGCTTCCAGTTGCGTATTTTTGTGCAGAGTACATTATTCATAAATATTCATAAATTAAATTTAATTAAATTATTCGTAAATTATTCATAAATGTTTTATGAATATTTTTTAATATTATCTGTTCTCAAAACGTGGAAGAATATTTTTACATATTAATAATTTTTATACGACAACAATTACATAATTTCTTTTCAGATCGAATCGCGACGGCCTGTGCCGGGCCAAGAGTTGCGTGGCAAACTTACGGAGGAATCCACCACCAACTCGACGTCTAATATCTCGGATGACGGCGATCGGCAGAATATAATTTCGCCGACGAAGAACACCACGCAATTGGAATGGATTCTAGCTGGCACGGCCATCAATCGTATCGCTTTCGTGCTGTTCTGCTTAATCTTAGCAACAATGGCGATAGTATACATAAGTTAACTCGTTAAATGAAAATTTTTTCTTAAGTCGCTCTTATATTCCGATAATCTATAATATATACACGATATATACAAATAAATCATGAATTGTTGTCCAATGCTGATTTATTCTCGTAAATAAATAACTCTCATATAATATATACAAATGCAAACATAATATAAACATTATATCGACAAAATATTTGAAAATACCTCAGTATTTTTTGCATTGAGAATATATTGGCGTGATGTATTCACAATCACCGAAAGACTCATTGTCAAAATCTCTCACGAACTTCTCTACAATCATCGTCCTTCATCTTTAATTATGCACCGTGCACGCTATTTGCAGTGCAGTTAATCCTATCATGCGTAGCTCATACTAAGCTGGTAGAGCACGATGTCGCCAAAAATTCGTATAGTGTCCGCAATTGACGACGGCAGTCTGTGCTTAAATTCACCGACCATCTTGTTGTCCAACCATATTGTGTATCCCTCGAATTCGCAGCGAATGCTGTTAAAGCAAACACGAATCTATTATTATACGAAAACTCACAACTTTCTCTACGTAAAATCACGCGTAATTTTATTTATCGGGAGTCTTACGTGAGCAAGAAATCTCGACCGGGCATCCAGGATAAGTGACCCTGGTGTCGCTCCTCATGACTCCACGCGCCATTGTTCCAGCAGTTCATGACAACGTACGGCGCATTACTGCCATATAAGAAACGCGGGTTTAAATGCAGCGGTATAACAGGATGAGGATAAATGGTCTTGCCCTTCTGTAGATTCACGTAAAACCTGCAAAGGACCGTGATACATCGCGTTGCACGGGCGAGCTCGTGAAAAATATGCGACCGCCTAAATTACAATCTCAAACGCTCACGAGTGTGGAAGTAGCTTCAGCCTTCCGGCAATGAATAAACGGGCGCCGACGCGAAACTCGCTACCGATATCCACGGTGATGGGAACGTCCTGCAAGAAGAAGATTGAGTTTTTCGGGCGTTTTACCTTGCGCGTCGAGCTTTCGATTTCTCGCAGATAAGACAGCGAGTCTCACTAGAAAATCGACAAGCGGTTCGTCGGTCGTCAGGACCAGCACTCGGGACGGTCTGCAAACATTCGGATCTGGATATACGAATAGATTCAGCTGGCGAATCCGGGTGTCCTCGAGATTCCCGTTGATTTCGGCGGTCATTACATCTTCGAGGGGCATTCTGTAGGAAAAGGTACAGAAGTGCTCTCCGTTCACCGCAATCTGCAACGCAAAAGTAGCAAATTAGTTTGATAATTTTCAGTTATCTCTCTGACGTAATTCTTCCGACAAAAGAGACGGGGATTGAAAAGACATCTGATATTCTGTATTACCTGAAACGCGTCGTTTGTGCAAAAGATCATGAGATGCACGTAAGCGTTCCGGCGGAAAATGCACCCGCTCGGACCAGCCGGCGAACAAGTTTCTTCATCCTCCCAGGATCCGCGCACTCTTGTGTTCCGAACAATGTAACCCCTGTCCAGTCGTGGGTTGAAATGCAAAGCTATGTTTCCAGCCGTCTTGCATGTTAAATTCACCGAAAACCTATCGCGTAATTAAATCGAGATGCAATAATTTTCGTCTCTATTTTTGAAAATTACGCATTTATTTGAGGCATTGATAGTTGACTATAAATAGAATAACTCATGATATATTGTCAATATTATTGTCCTTTCTTACACATATATTATTGTCCTTTCTTACACATAAAAACCTTGACATTTTTCATTCACGACAGAATTCTAAATAAAATTCTATTTATGCTTTTATGTGCCGCGCGTAATAAAGAAAAAATTGTGTGAAAAATCAGAAGACGCGCTTTTACAAAATCTATCAGTTTTGTACATGTGCGTATTTTGATATTTTAAATGTTTTCTATCGCGTAAAATTATAAATTAAGATATAGCTATTTATCTCAAATTTTATCGCAAATAAATCTAAAAAATGGGCTTTGTACATTTTTCATTAATAAAGATTTTTCAAGTGCTTTCGCAAAACTGTAAAAATGAGATAAAAATCAAGAAAAATGAAGATAAAACAAGTACCTCGACGCGTTTTCAGGAATGTACCCGGTGAGAATGATAGCAGACGTCGGTTTCAGTGGTCGCAGCGGAATCGATTTACAGACATTCTGAAAAAATATACACAACACATATCAGTGCGTCTGACAGGATTCACTAATTTTCGGATATTCCGTACGTAAATGCTCGTTAACGTTTGTATACGAAACATCGGTATCAAATCCCGGTGTGATAATATTCGGAAATTTTATTATTTCTAAGCGCTCGATTATATCGCTCGACTAATAGTGACTTGTCGCCCATTGTATATTTATTATACCGACAAGTGCTCTTTTCGATGCATGCATAACAATGCTAATTGCCTCGATCGAGCTTTTCACTCCGTCGACTATATAGACACTCGACGCGAGAATTTATGCCACACGATTCACTGACCTCGGCCACTTGAGAAGAATTTATAATCAAGTTATTGGAAAAAATCTATGATTCATGTGATTCAGATTACTATAAATCATCATTGATTGTTAAGAACTTCATAATAATCTCGGTTCATTAGCCTCTGTACATCGTATAACTTTATTTTTCTATTGTATTTATACTCAGATTTGAAATATTCAGATATCTTCAAATCCGAAAAATTAAAATTCGAGAACAAAGTTTGAATTATTCAAACTATATAAGTTTGAATTATTCAAATTATATCAGTAGAAAATTTCCAGCGCTAACTGTAATTATTCTATCGTGTATTATGAAATCGTGGGAGTCACCAAGGCGAGATAAATACCAGCTATCTCGAGAGGAAAATGATTCATGTAAAAGATAAGACGTATCTCATGCAAGAGTAACAGCAACATCAGCGATAAAGCGAGGTATTTAAACAAGCTGAACTAATATTTCTCGAATTTTTTTCTTTAGAATTAATCGAGGCATCATATTTCGTCATATATTTCAAGAGTTTTCTTATACTAAATATCTAAAAATACTATACATGAAAAATTAAATAGTAAAAATATTCTCACAATTTTTAACTTTAACAAAGTTTTGAAATTGTAAGAGTTTGGTCAATTATATGTTAATTAATAACAGACGGATAATGTAACCATTATCTGTCTACATGGTTAATCACATATGGTAATCCTTATCCCATATCACAGCACGCGAAGGACAAATATTTGCTAACGTAACACGTCATGTTGTCGTAGCGAGTGTGTCCTCAAATGTTACATGTGTTGGGTTAATTAAAAATACTAATTCCGTTTGTTGAAGAGTTTTGCTGAATCTGAAAATTATTTCGTTATAGTAACAAATTAATTTTCACTTCGTCTCTATGTAACAAATTTGCTACATTCATTAAAATTAATTATTTCGCTTTAGTAGCGAACTAAATTTCACTTTATATTTACATTTTCTGTGAGTAAATTTATTCGGCAAGATTTATAACAATAAAATAGATATTAAATAATTAATTATAATAGCACAGTTCAAAAATTCGATTCACTGTGCATGCAATAGCAATAACAGTCTTCTTACAAAAAAATTATTTTTCTCTATTTTTCTGTATTTTGCGCTATTATTGTCATAATTTTATTCTACAACTCATAAATTGTAATAGTTGACGCTGATACTTCATTGCTGATGCTATTAAAAAAAGAGAAGTTATCTTAGAAAAATCATAAATTTTCATCATATAATTTTTCACTTTTTCATTGCGTTTTAAGGCGCACATTTTCGAAATCATAGTTTTCCATTTTTTATTTGTAATAAAAAATTTCTTATTTATTTATATAAATAAATTTTCAAAAAATAAATTATCTATTGTTGGTGAAACCAGGCATAATATATAAATCTATGCACTGATGTGGCTGGAAAGAGAGTATGTGGATGCTACTCGGCTACAGCACATCGGTAAATAGTAACGCCTTCTGCGGAGATTTGGTTTCAACAGCACGTGGCAAAAAGAAGGCAATCACGCAGGCTCGGCGGCCTCAGCGAGGACGGAGACAGCGAGCTCTGGGGTACCGCTGGTACTCACCACAGGCACGGTCTCCTCGTCGAAATAAGAGAAGTCCTTGAACGCCTCCTCCCTCGCTAGGGCGAAGATGTCATTGGATGAAGATGACATGCTGCCCGTGCACGAGCTCACTCAACGAGCGACCGAGCTACGATTGTCTCGGTTATCGGACGTGCCGCATCGAACGCTCGTGCGAGTGACGGCGCTCCGCAGTCGCGCCTTCACGCTCAGCCGTCTGTCTGTGCCGTCTATTCTCGTCCGCTTCCACCTCCGCCTCATCAACAAGTATGCGAAGCAGGTGCAATTGCGATTGCGCGAACTTGCGCGGAAATGTACAAGGTGACTCACACTCGCATACGGAATTTTATCTATCTTGTATCGGCTTACGTTGTTTTTAATCCGAGTGTATCAGTCTGGATTGTTAGCTTGATGAAGACGTCATGCGATACGGAGTTATCGGTGTCACTTGGCGGTGTTACATGTTATGAAACGAGAAGCTGCACTTGTCTTTACGCTACATTTCTTTGCTTTCTTACGTTCCTACAATGGTTAATACAAAATTGGTGTTGAATTATTGGTATCAAGCAAATTCCAACATTGCAAAGAAACTGTTTTTGTTTCTCTGAAATGTTCACTTTCCACATCTCTTTTCCTTCTTCTTCGAAATTATTAACCATATATTTTATTTCCAACAAATTACAATTTTCTTTGTAATATATAATCATATTACTTACATATCATGTAAATATTTGTAGCACTTAGCATAATGCCACCATATAATTAGTGTCGATAATTTATTAATAAGAACGAGCATATCTTTCTGGTTGATAAGATAATGTATGACCCATACAATCTCTTTCTTTCATAAAACATTTTGTCAAGAGTGAGAATCTGTTACATCTAAAAAAGAAAGTATTCGTATTAACTACTTTAAGATGAATAACGCACGGCCGGAAATATATCGAACACGATTAAGACTAGACTAGTTTTCGATGTTCAAAATAGATACTCGAAATACAATCGTACGAAAGACATAATGCAGGAAAATTTATAGTATCACGTATAATTGGCATCACGTGAAACCTTTAAATTCTTTCGCCATTAAGAGCCATTAAAAGCTTTCATAAATTCGTACATATATCAAGAATTATTGCTAGTGGCTCATCAAAAACGATAAAAAAATTTATAAATTACAATTCAGAAATTTTATAATTAAGATATTAAGTTTACAAGTTAAGATATTAAATTTAGATACGAAGTTTTCTTATACGACGCGCTTTTCAACTAAATTCGCCGTTGCAGAGAGATGCGAAAGAATGCTAGAAATACCTCGAAATGTGCGAAATATTTAGGCAAGCGCAATCATTCATCGTTAAAGAGGTTTCATGCTTGGAAAAAAATATTGCGAGATAACCACGTGTCTTCACGCGTGATAATCTCTATTGGTTTGTGCGATTGTGGCCGTCATGGACGGTACCAAAATTATTGCCTAAAGCTTGTTTCGTCATTTATGGCCGAACAATATTAATCGCGGAAAGAAATGGACGAGTATCGGAACACCTTATATAAAAAATGTATTTAAATATCACGAGGCTCATGCGGATCCGGCAGCTTCTGCCAGGACGGTTCAACCTTCCAGATCTCTCGCGCATATTCCGCAATTGTGCGATCTGACGAGAATTTTCCCGACGACGCTATGTTGTGAATAGCCATTTCCACCCACTTGTTTTCGTCCTGAAAATCAACAAATGTA